TCACACACACACACACACACACACACACACACACACACATATATATATTATATATATATATATATATAATATATGTACATACACACACAAACACACACAAACACAACATACAGACACACACAAACACACACACACACACACATATATATATAAAGACACGCACACACACACAATATTAAGAGATAGAGCGTAGTATCCATTCAAACCAAATAAATAGAAGGTACATATTATGGGATAAACAATGATATTGGGTATTGATGTGTGACGTTGAAGGTCTGCCTTTTTCCATTTTAGCCTGCCCGTCCGGTGAGTTCGGACCTGACTGTCACGGTACCTGTCAATGTGCAATCGGAGATTCTGTGTGTGACATCCGGACTGGAGTCTGCTCTAGTGGAGGGTGTGAGGCCGGATGGAAGGGAAGCAACTGTCAGACAGGTGATCACGTTGATTTTTTATCAGCACAATGTAATATTGTAGTATTTGACTAAAATTAAAGTAGGCGTTAAAAATATAACCCAGGTATGAATACATGTAAAAGGCTTTACAAATCTTTTTTTTTTTCAATTGTTAATTGCAGTCTGCTCGCCTGGTGAGTTTGGGCCTGACTGTACCGGCACCTGTCACTGCGCGAGTGGAGATTCCGTGTGTGACATCCAGACTGGAGTCTGCTCTAGTGGAGGGTGTGAGGCTGGGTGGAAGGGAAGCAATTGTCAGACAGGTGATCACGTTGATTTTTATCAGCACAATGTAATATGGCAGTATTTGACTAAAATTAAAGTAGGTGTTAAAAAATAACCCAAGTATGAATACATGTAAAAGGCTTTACAAAACTTTTTTACAATTGTTAATTGCAGTCTGCTCGACTGGAGAATTTGGACCTGACTGTACCGGCACCTGTCATTGTGCGAGCGGAGATTCCGTGTGTGACATCCGGACTGGAGTCTGCTCTAGTGGAGGGTGTGAGGCTGGGTGGAAGGGAAGCAATTGTCAGACAGGTCATCACATTAATTTTACACATTGTATTCTGGTAGTAATTTAGTAAAATTCAAGTAGGTGTTTAAAAGAAAATAAACCCAGATATGGATACATGTAAAATTATATTTTTCAATTGTTAATTGAAGAAAGTTTATTGCAAATACATGCCCGAGGGCTAATTGCAGTTACAAACAACATAAGAAAGAAAATACAGTGGTATGTGAGACTATATCTACTTCTAGCATTATACTATATTCTACAACATGCATGGTACTAGATTTACTGGGTTTGACTTCTTCTTTTCTTGCAGCCTGCTCGCCTGGTGAGTTCGGGCCTGGCTGTAGCGGCACCTGTCGATGTGCAAACGGCCCTTCCGTGTGTGACGTCCGGACTGGAGTCTGCTCTAGTGGAGGGTGTGAGGCTGGATGGATGGGAAGCAACTGTCAGACAGGTCATCACATTAATTCTACACATTGTATTCTGGTAGTAATTGAGTAAAATTCAAGGTGTTGAAAAGAAAATAAACCCCGATACGAATACATGTAAAATGATATTTTTCAATTGATTAATTGCAGCCTGCTCGCCTGGTGAGTTTGGGCCTGGTTGTACCGGCACCTGTCGATGTGCGAGTGGAGATTCCGTGTGTGACATCCGGACTGGAGTCTGCTCTAGTGGAGGATGTGAGGCTGGATGGAAAGGAAGCAACTGTCAGACAGGTCATCACATCAATTTTTGCACATTGTAATCTGGTAGTAATTGAGAAGATTAAAGTGTTTAAGAATAGTAGAACTACATGTAAAATGTGATTTTCTATTTGGTTAATTGCAGCCTGCTCGCCCGGTGAGTTTGGGCCCGGCTGTACCGGTACCTGTCACTGTGCGAGCGGAGATTCCGTGTGTAACATCCGGACTGGAGTCTGCTCTAGTGGAGGGTGTGAGGCTGGATGGAAGGGAAGCATTTGTCAGACAGGTCATCACTTTAATTTGGTATTGTAATCTGGTAGTAATTGCGGAAAATTAAAGTAAGTGTAAAAAAACAGTATGACGACATGTAATTATATAAACTGAGATTTTCTAATTGGATAATTGCAGCCTGCTCGCCCGGTGAGTTTGGGCCTGACTGTACCGGCACCTGTCGATGTGCGAGCGGAGACTCCGTATGTGACATCCGGACTGGAGTCTGCTCTAGTGGAGGGTGTGAGGCTGGATGGAAGGGGATCAATTGTCAGACAGGTGATTCGTGTTACTTAGACACATCGTATCTGGTTATAGGCAAGGAAACGGAAAGCGAGACAAACTAAATACCGAGATGAGTACATGTAAAATAAGATTTTATATTTTTTCAGTCTGTTCGCCTGGTGAGTTCGGGCCTGGCTGTACCGGTACCTGTCACTGTGCAAACGGTCCTTCCGTGTGTGACATCCAGACTGGAGTCTGCTCTAGTGGAGGGTGTGAGGCTGGATGGAAGGGAAGCAACTGTCAGACAGGTGATTGATTTGTCTCATTTGTGACGAGCGTGCCCATGCATGGAGCAAGCAATATATTATTGTACAATATTAAAATCCAATCATCGTATACGCGTATTATGAAAGTTTCTATATCATGTTAACAGAGATCACTGTTACGCTATAGGGTGATTGGAAATTCAGACGTCAAATCTTCTTGACGTCTGAATTTTCAATCCAAGTGTTGTTTTTTTAATACAGACTTATCGTCCTGTGTATTTTGTTCGGTACAGGTTTGAAGATATTTTCATATATTTATGTACTTAACTGTTAATTTGTTTTAGATTTCTTATGTACTTAACTGTTAATTTGATGTACATTTCTTAGAGTGTCCTGACGGCCTGTACGGAGCTGACTGTACCCAATCCTGTAACTGTGCAGCCGGACCAACAGCCTGTAACAAGAGGACTGGATTCTGTACTGGGGGATGTCCGGTATTATGGACTGGGGACTCCTGTCAGATCCGTACAGGTAGTGATGAAATTTACAGTGATGCTGTTAGGGTATAAGATACATAATGTACATAATTAACTTGGTTGAATAAATGTTTGGAGTTTCATTTTGTAAAGACGAGTCTGGCTACTACGGTTTTTATATTATTTTTAAATTTTTATGCTCAGCCTGGTTTTCGAATGTTGTAATTTTTCTACTTTAGCGACTGTATCATACGAGGATCTCTTTACCAAGGAAGAAGGACAGTTTTTCGGTGATTCGTCTAACCTCATAACAGCATACAACAACATAGACACAGAAGAGTGTGCCCGTCGCTGTTTGCAAGGTTACGACAGCTATGATGGCACCACTCCGACCTGTCTGTCCTTCAACCGTCGCCCTGCCGGATCGCCAGAGGGCGGCAGTGCACGGTGTTGGCTCCGTAGTTCTGACAAGGACACGGCGGCGTCTCCTGGTCATGAGTGGGACAGTTGGCCTTTCCGGAACTACTACCAGAGGAAAGGTAACTATATACTTTATGCCTCTGTTCGATAATGGCGTCAATGCCTTATTGTGTTTAACTAATAAAAAGATGTACATACAAACTATAGATGAAAAGTAAAATTCAATGGGCTTCACGTCATCTTCTTTACAGTATTCTAGACCTTCATAATAATATTTGTAACATTTTCTGTTTAAGATATAGCAATTGTCTTTTTATAAAAACGTTAATCACTACGTTGAATTAATATTTACCACTTCTTATTCTTGTATTATCATTATCATTATTACCTCCTTCCGGATTTCCTGTGTTTCCGCGGTTAATTTTACATGTTGCCACCTTGGAAAACAGACAAAAAACAAGGTCAAAGATCCCAGAAAGATCGAAAAAGAAAAAAAAAACTCTTATATCTAATGGGGTGGAAGATTGAATTGAATTATTACATTCTTCTTGTTTATAGACATCTTGGAGCCCCAAGACTGTGCTGACGTGTTTGCACTCGGGATGCAAGACAGTCATGTGTACACTATCGGCCACCCACAACCATTCCAAGCCTACTGTGACATGGGCACTGATGGCGGGGGGTGGACGGTCATACAGCGGCGACAGGACGGGTCAGTCCCGTTTGACAAGACTTGGACTGAGTACGAACAGGGGTTCGGTAATTCTAGTGGAGAATACTGGCTGGGGCTGGGAAACATCCACAGTCTGACAACACAGAAACAAAATGAACTGTACGTGTACTTGGAAGACTGGGAAACGAACAGTCGGTTTGCGCGGTACAGCACGTTTTCTGTAGGAAATACCAGCAGCAAGTACACGGCAACGATTGACGGGTACAGCGGGGATGCTGGTGATAGTTTGGACCCGTCCACTACACGTCACAGCATTAACAACAGACAATTTTCTACAACAGACCAAGATAACGACGGTGCCAGTACCGACTGTGCAAGTACATACGGACAAGGAGGCTGGTGGTACACTCCAAGTTGTGGTTTTTCCATGTTGAACGGACAGTATCTCACAGGCTGTTCAGTACCTGCTCCAGGTTCCTGTCCCGTTGCAGATGGAATCATCTGGTACACTTGGTTGCGTTACAGATATTCCTTGAAGAAAACTGTCATGATGGTCAGGCCTGCCGATTTTCCTGGTACGTGTTTTAGTCATTACTTAGACATTGTGTATTCTATATTCTCATTTAAACAGGAAAAGTAAAATTAAATAAGTAAGAAATGCAACTGGTTACCATCATCATGACGTTATGTCCATTGTGTTAAAACGTTTACTATATGTCGTACTACATTTCTTCATAGTGTCATCATTCAGACCTTGTGAGAATGGGGGAAACCTGGCATCTGGACCGGAGGATTCAGGACTGTTCATCTGTGCATGTCCTGCAGGATGGAATGGCGAGTTTTGTGATCAGGGTAATTAAGATGCAATATTTTTACATATGCGTACACACAAATATATATATACACACACACACACACACACACAATTATTACACAAACACACACACACACACACATATATATATATATATATATACACACACGCGCGCACACACACACACACACACACACACACACACACACAATATTAAGAGATAGAGCGTAGTGTCCATTCAAACCAAATAGTTAGAAGGTACATACTATATACCATATATGGGATAAACAATAATATTGGGTATTGATGTGTGACGTTGAAGGTCTGCCTTTTTCCATTTTAGCCTGCTCGCCTGGTGAGTTTGGGCCTGGCTGTACCGGCACCTGTCATTGTGCGAGTGGAGATTCCGTGTGTGATATCCGGACTGGAGTCTGCTCTAGTGGAGGGTGTGAGGCTGGGTGGAAGGGAAGCAATTGTCAGACAGGTGATCACATTAATTTTACACACTGTATTCTTGTAGTACTTGAGTAAAATTCAAGTAAGTGTTTAAAAGAAAATAAACCCCGATATGAATACATGTAAAATGATATTTTTCAATTGTCAATTGCAGCCTGCTCGCCTGGTGAGTTCGGGCCTGGCTGTACCGGCACCTGTCGATGTGCAAACGGAGATTCCGTGTGTGACGACGTGACTGGAGTCTGCTCTAGTGGAGGGTGTGAGGTCGGATGGAAGGAGGACAACTGTCAGACAGGTCGTCACATCAATTTTTGCACACTGTAATCTGGTAGTAATTAAGAAGATTAAAGTGTTTAAGAATAGTAGAACTACATGTAAAAGGCGATTTTCTATTTGGTTAATTGCAGTCTGCTCGCCTGGTGAGTTCGGGCCAGGCTGTACCGGTACCTGTCAGTGTGCGAGTGGAGATTCCGTATGTGACATCCGGACTGGAGTCTGCTCTAGTGGAGGGTGTGAGGCTGGATGGAAGGGAAGCAACTGTCAGACAGGTGATCACGTTGATTTTATCAGCACAACGTAATATGGTAGTATTTGACTAAAATTAAAGTAGGTGTTAAAAAATAACCCAAGTATGAATACATGTAAAAGGCTTTACAAAACTTTTTTTCACTTGTTAATTGCAGTCTGCTCGCCCGGTGAGTTTGGACCTGACTGTACCGGCACCTGTCACTGTTCGAGTGGAGATTCCGTGTGTGACATCCGGACTGGAGTCTGCTCTAGTGGAGGGTGTGAGGCTGGATGGAAGGAGGACAACTGTCAGACAGGTCGTCACATCAATTTTTGCACACTGTAATTTGGTAGTAATTGAGAAGATTAAAGTGTTTAACTTTAAGAATAGTAGAACTACATGTAAAAGGCGGTTTTCTATTTGGTTAATTGCAGTCTGCTCGCCTGGTGAGTTTGGACAAGGATGTACCGGCACCTGTCGATGTGCAAGCGGAGATTCCGTATGTGACATCCGGACTGGAGTCTGCTCTAGTGGAGGGTGTGAAACTGGGTGGAAGGGAAGCAATTGTCAGACAGGTGATCACATCGATTTTTATCAGCACATTGTAATATGGTAGTATTTGACTAAAATTAAAGTAGGTGTTAAAAAATACCCCAAGCATGAATACATGTAAAAGGCTTTACAAATCTTTTTTTTTTTCAATTGTTAATTGCAGTCTGCTCGCCCGGTGAGTTCGGGCCTGGCTGTACCGGCACCTGTCACTGTGCGAGCGGAGATTCCGTGTGTGACATCCGGACTGGAGTCTGCTCTAGTGGAGGATGTGAGGCCGGGTGGAAGGGAAGCAGTTGTCAGACAGGTGATTGATTTGTCTCATTTGTGACGAGTGTGCCCATGCATAGAGCAATCAATATATGTTATTCTACAATATTTAAAACCGATTTTCGTATCATGACAGTTTCTATAACACGTTAACAGAGATCACTGTTAGGTTGTCACTTAAGTGCAACGCATCACACCGCAGCAAAACGCAACGAATGCGGACGTAACTACGCCACCGCGGGGCAAAAAAAGTCAAGGGTCGGTGACCTGATTAAGACTTCAAATTATTTGAAAATATTGTGCAAAAATTGCCAGCAGGACAAAATCTGCCGTCTGAATTTCCAATCCTCTAAAGCGGTTTTTAATACAGACCTATCGTCCTGTGTATTTTGTTCGATACAGACCTGAAGATATTTTCATATATTTATGCACCTAATGATATTTAACTGTTAATTTGATGTACATTTCTTAGAGTGTCCAGACGGCTTGTACGGAGCCGGCTGTACCCAAACCTGCCACTGTGCAGCCGGACCAACAGCCTGTAACAAGACGACTGGATTATGTACTGGGGTGTGCGTGGACTTCTGGGCTGGAGAATCGTGTCAGATACGTACAGGTACTACTAACAGTAACATTTAACACTGACAGTAATTATGGTATAAAATGCATAAGATACCTGCCACAATCCCGAATAAATAAAATAAATACATATCGACATGTAAATGAAAACGTTTGTGGACACCTAGATCTATATAGAGCAATCGGAAATACGGCTTTAATAAAGGGTTAATGCACTGCCCCGAGTTGTATATGGTGTCATAACTGCATGAGCAGCTGCCATAACCACCGAATAAACCACCGTGTGAGCGAAGCGAACGAGGTGGTTTATGAGGTGGTTATGGCAGCTGCCCATGCAGTTATGACACCATATACAACGAGGAAAAGGCAGTGCATTAAAATTATTATCATATAGCCTATCCAAACTGTCAATCAACACAATTCCTGTTTGAAATACAACAGCTTTAATATATATACATACATAAAAATACATTCGAATATATTATACGCTTTAAAACAAATATGGATAATTTCATTTAATGCAAATTGTAGTTTAAATGAAGCTAAACAAAAAAGTTTATTGGACAGAAAAATGCTACAAAGGTTTATAGAAAGAGTCGCATGCCCCTATACCCTATAACATAATGGTATCAGCCATAACACGACATGTGCTGTTATTCCGCCATAACACCACATGTGCTGTTATCGGGAAATAACAGCACGGGTATCCGGGCCTCTGATTGGTCCACGCCGTCCGGCTATATGATAATCTAATATATAGTATATGGATGAACGTTAGACATCCAGGTAAACGGTACCCATGTTTTTTTTTATTCTAATACTGGATAAATTGTGGAGACTTTGAAAGAAACTTTACACAAGTTTTGTTTGTTTTACAATGTTATATCTTTTTTGCTTTAGATACTGTCCCGTACGCAGATCTCTTTATTAAGGAGGAAGGTCGCTTCTTCGGTAGTTCTTCTAGCCACATAACAGCGTACGACAACATAGACACAGAAGAGTGTGCCCGTCGCTGTCTGCAAGGTCACGACAGCTATGATGGCGTCAATCCGACATGTCTGTCCTTCAACCATCGCCCTGCCGGATCGCCAGAGGGCGGCAGTGCACGGTGTTGGCTCAGTAGTTCTGTCACGGACAAGGCGGCATCTCCTGGTCCTGAGTGGGACAGTTGGCCTTACCGAAATTACTACCAGAGAAAGCGTAACTACATTCATACCTCTATGTGACAAGGACCTAGATTCCCTTTTCTGTAAGATTCTGTAGATTCTGTGAAAAGTGCAAAGCGATACTTGTCGTCGTTTCCACTATTTTCCATTTATGACAGTACATGTGTTATCAGTTTTTTTTACGTTTCGCATGCTAGGGCTTCACTGACAACAAGTTACTCGATCTAAGACACAAAAATGTCAGAAGAAGAGATATGTCAAATCCTGGTCAGTTATTTTTTGCCATATATGCGTATCTGTTGCCTTTCGGGAGCCAGTAAAAAACATATAGACGAAATTAGGGGGAAATTTACAACAATGAACTTATAACAAAACAATAATATAATCCCCACGGAAGTGTGAGATCTTTAAGACACATTGCTTCAGGCAATCTTCTTTCTCTATTGTTTTCAGAAATCCTGGCACCCAAAGATTGTACTGACGTGTTTGCCCTCGGGATTCAGTACAGTCATGGGTACACCATCGGCCACCCACAACCATTCCAAGCTTACTGTGACATGGACACTGATGGCGGTGGGTGGACGGTCATACAACGGCGACAGGACGGGTCCGTGCCGTTTGACAAGACTTGGACTGAGTACGAGCAGGGGTTCGGCAATACAAGTGGAGAATACTGGCTGGGATTGGGGAACATCCACAGTCTGACAACAGAGAAACAAAACGAACTGTACGTGTACTTGGAAGACTGGGAAATGAACAGCCGGTTTGCGCGGTACAGCAATTTTTCTGTAGGAGATGCCAGCAGCAAGTACACGGCAATAGTTGTTGGATATGACAGTAATAGTACTGCGGGTAACGGCCTGGATCCATCAGGATTGCGTCATAAAATTAGAAATGTGAAGTTTTCCACAATAGATCAAGATAACGACATCAACAACGCTCATTGTACAGCACTGTTTGGACAAGGTGGATGGTGGAATCCTCAAAGTTGCGGCCTGGTCATGTTGAACGGACAGTATCTAGCTGGCTGCTCTGTACCTGCTCCACCGTCCTGCTCCCAGGCAGATGGAATCGTCTGGCAAACTTGGTTGGGCTACAGATATTCACTTAAGAAAACGGTCATGATGATCAGACCAGCTGATTTTTCCGGTACGTGTTTTAGTCATTACGTAGCACTTTGTGTATTCTATATTCTTCTTGTTAAATAGAAAAGTAAACTATGATAAATAAGGAAAAATGCAATTGTGATTATTACCATTATCACTACGATATGTTCAGTGTGACAAAACTTTTACTATATGTCGTACTACACTGCTATAGTGTCATCATTCAGACCATGTGAGAATGGAGGAACCCTCACATCTGGACCGGAGGATTCCGGACTGTACATCTGTGCATGTCCCGCGGGATGGCACGGTGCATTTTGTGGGCAAAGTAAGTAATTTACCATTTCAGTAAAATTTACCTTGCATTAGACCTTTGGTTCTTCTGAGGCACAACAAACTAAAGCACGCATGTGTGTGCGACCGGGTACCATGGCGTTAACTGGGATCAATGTTATTTAAAATATAGATTCATAACATAAGTCTGATTGCTACATGATGACTAATGATATATATAATTTCCAATTATCCTTCTAATATACACATGTTTGAAATGGTTTATATCCATATAAATAAGATGAGTATGTAGGCACATACATTAAATACATAATACCAGTTTACCGCATAGTATAAAGTCATTGTATCTATCATAAATCTATCATTGTACCTCATCATCATCATCATCATCATCATGATGTACCTCAATCAAACTTCTCCCCCATCTATAATTAGAACATTTAAATTAACATTGTGACATTGTGTTTACATAAACATCTACTTTGCCTGTAACCTCCAATTCCCTTTTTTTCTCTTTGATTGATTCTGTTTCAAGTTTTTTTATAATTTCAGTATGATTTTGTATGTTTTATTTATTATTATTGCGAAAAGCAATTATTATTATTATTATTGTTATTTCATTTAATGTGGACTCCAGGAAGAATAGTATGGAGTTGACTTCCATACTAACGGAGATCTAAATAAACAAACAAACAAACAAACAAACAAACAAACAAACAAACTGAAATGTGTGCATGCATAAACTTTTGATATTGTCTGAGCTGCAGAAAGTCCTGGTGACGTGACAGTGAACGTTACGGCAGTTAACTCTACAGCCCTACACGTCAGGTGGACAGTAGGAGTATCCGGTAACCTCAACATCATCGACTCCCAAGTACGCTACAAACAGAGCGACGCGGGGGACTGGGGAGCATGGTCGTCAACCAGAGTTTCTGATGAGTACGGCGATGTCTACATCCGCGGCTTACGGCCGGCCGTCATGTACGATGTTCAAGTGCGGGTGAACAACTCGTTGGGATGGAGCGATCCTGGCAACGGGACGGGGACTACTGACGAAGCACGTAAGAATTCTTATCTTCTTTGGCTTTGACAGCCTTTTACGCGGTAGTTGTCGCCCTTTAGCTATAACACACACACACACACACACACACACACACACACACACACACGCACACACACACACACACACACACACACACACAAACAAACACACACACACAAATATATATGTGTGTGTGTGTGTATGTGTGTGTGTATGTGTGTGTGTGTGTGTGTGTGTGTGTGTGTGTGTGTGTGTGTGTGTGTGTGTGTTACAGTAAGTATGCAAAGTTTAACATTAATTGCTGTCTAATCAAAGATGTTGCTCCAATACATTTGCAGCAATGAGTAGAATGTTAGCATAATAGATATCCAAGATGGCTTTAATAAGAAAGTGTGATGTGAAATTTCATTTAATGCTATACAGTCAAGAAATTTCATTTAATGCTATACAGTCAAGAAATTTCATTTAATGCTATACAGTCAAGATAACGTGGACAGAAGCACTAATATATGTATTACCATACACCAACTCGGCCATCTTGAATGGCCCACCTCCATATTATAAATGACACGTAAAAAGCTGCTAGTTTGGAAAGGAGGTTCATAATCTCGGATTCTCCGTATAGTTCCTCGTACGTATTAAAAAGATGTAAGAAAAAATACATTCATTATACATTCCTATCTGCAAATTGCCCATAGATCCAACAGCCCCAGTAGTCCAGACGTTTGCAGACCAGCACGACTGTAACTGCCGGACGCCAAACCTCCCCCGGCCGGTCCAGCTGCGTGTAGCCTGGCGGCGCCCTGACCACATCCACGGTCAGCTGCAGGCGTACCGAATCAGCCTGTACAACAGGACCGGCGGGGAACCGTTCTACCAGGAGAACATGACGTCAGGACTGCAGCAGGAGAACCTGACAGCTGTGATTACATCACCATACCTGCAGCCCGCTAGGAACTACTCTGTCACTGTGAGTAGAAACTACAACACCTCGTTGATGTCTTAACCATTTTAAATATTTTTTTCTGTAAGACATTAATATACTTAATGTCTAAAGAATGTCTAGAAAATTCAAGAAATAGTTGCCAAATCATTGATCCTATAATGATGCAATATTACAATTACTGGATTTTAGGAATGGTCAAATGAATCAATGATATCGTTAAAACTATGTTGATTTGTGTCGTTTACACCTAACAGGTGTCAGCTATAAACACCTTCTACCATGGGAATGAGAGTTACCCGTATATGACCCGTACGAATGAAGGATGTAAGTATAATTTTTTTTTAAATTCAAAACTACGTCCAGTTTAGTTACACACATTTCCTGGGTTTGTATATCTGACCAGATTAGGAAGGACAGGCAGAATTGCAAAAGTACCACTGAATTTGGCATGGAGTCAGCAGGCATGGAGAAATCAGTCATAAAACCAAGGATTGCATACTTCCAAAAAGTTAGGAAGTCTAAAATCTCCTATTTATTATTATCAGGTCCAAATGCCCCGACTGTGACAAGAATGGCAAACAATGAATGTGGAGTAACCTGGACAGCTCCTTCAATAACCCGGGGGAGGCTGGCAGGATACAATGTAGGTAAAATGGCATAGGCGAGAAGTTTTTGCATTTTATGATTTTGCGTCTGTATACGTAAAACATCATCGAAAGATATCTCATTATTAACTATATTTGCCTTCCGCACAGGTTACATATACATACACACCACGTGTCAATCCAGATGAGTCTGACCTAGGCATCAGCTATGATACGTTTGGTTCGGATCAACAACAGTGGTCCAAATCACTGGATGAGCTCCCCTCCAACTCATTGGTCCGAGTCACAGTTCGTGCATTAACCTGTGCCGAGGGAGACAAGGGGGCAGTGTTCACTTGCGAAGTGCCACCAAGAGTTGGTGAGGAGTAGTCATATTACGAATTGTAACCAGCAAACAGAATATCAATTAATGAAAGTAAAGGCGTTATTCAAATATCTCATTTCGTGGTAACGTCTCGCATACCATAGGAGGAATGTAACTGAAATAGTGGTTGAGTCTATGGCAGGTGGTCATATGCTAATTTAGTGCCGTGGAAAGTATTTTTTTCCTTAAAGTAACGCTGTCCATTTACCAATGTAAACCACCTCCTCTCCCAGTGTTCCCTACATACACCGACCCACCTTTGAAGGCTTCTCCAACATCTTTCCCCATGGTCCTTCCGAAAGTGAGCGAGAGGAATGGTCCCATACGGTACGTGCTTCTAATATCAGATGTCTTTGCCACAACCATTAATCAGGGCTAACTGTACAAAACCACGGTTTGTATTATTTTCCTTGTGTCCTTTTGGTACTTTTACATCTCCAATAAAAAGAAATAAAACTTTATATAGAGTATACATCTCGATGCATTCTTGAAAATTTACCGATCACATTCCTGATGGCATTCTTAAGCTGTTGCCAAGTCATCGTCATCAAGATGACTAAATCCGAGAGCCTTTTTGACCTGGAAACAAGAGTTGGAGAACCAGACGTCATCCTTACCGATGATGCTCCCGATGAAGGGAAAACTGAACCATATGTGGCTTTATCACTCTCAGGGTAAGCGCAATGTTTCATAAATCCCTTAATAACACTATATGTTACTACTGCGTGTGTCATATATGTTATAAGAACATAACAAAAGCCTGTGAGCTTGGATCCTGGTGTAGTGTTTGTTACTATATGTATTTTTGTTACGACAGTCAGCACATATGGTATGTACAATTGTTTTGTAACAAACTGACGCAATTCAGGGCATATGGACATGTATATGTGTGTATTTCCCTGTCATTGTATGTTTGAAGTAGAAATAAAAATAAAAAATATAACAAAAGGTATCATGTTGTAGGATCTTTTTGCAAGGCCCTTATGCCAGCACTACAGTTTCAATGTAAAGCAATTTTACATAGAATTTTATTAAGCGCATTCATTGCATTATAGACAAATGTTTTGTACCACATTGGTCTTTTCTGGACCTTCGACAGGGAGCTGTACAGAAAAACTGATGTAGTGGAGATTGGCGATGGCGGACCTTGTGGTCACGAGTGGTGCTGTGGGCGGAGTGAACTTGCCGATGCCAGCCTCGCAAAGGAACCTGGTAATAAAGAGCTCCAGCCTGGGGAGAAGTACACGGCAGCAGTACGGTGCTACGTGGACCCTAGTGCCAGGAGGCGCAAGCGGAACACGGAAGTGGTATTTTTTTACCGTAGTTATACGTGTACATTTAGCCATGCCAACTTTTGAGTTTCTTTTCCAGTTTTTTTTAATCATGTTGTTTTAACGAATGTATGCTTTTAAAAGTGACTGAAATGCGGCGGGTACATTTCAATTGGAAATGGTTGATACTCTGTGTCATTTTCAGTTATTCACAACAAGTGGGTATATTGAGCCTGTGATCACAGGGACGGTCAACCAACCTGAAGGTAATTGTTATGGATAAGATACCATTCAAAGTTAACCTTTTTTTGGTATGCTTTTTGTGAGATGATTGTCAGAATGATTGTTTATGGCCACTTTTTTTTACCGAGTAACAAATTATTAGTTTCCCAAATACAAAGTGATTTAACTATATTGTGGTGATTCCATTCTAGGCGAACCTGTACCAGTTGCTGCTATCGTTGGCGGCAGTGTGTCTGCTCTACTGGTGGTTATTCTGGTGACAGTGGGGATAGTATGTTACAGGTACGTAAATACTCCATTCATAAAAACGTAATCATGATTTATGTGCCATGGCTAAGCGCTCTGTCCTGATTTAATCGTTTACTTGTTAAAGGAAAAGGAAATCCAAAGATGACCGGGACCCAACAGGTCCTCAGATAGACCTGAAGATAATCACAGAAGACGAAACACCCATTAAGGAATCTGCTGAGAATCCTACAGCATTGGTTGAGGACACTTCACCGTATGAAACGGTAACTGAAATGCACACTTTCATCGATTTGTCTATTCCATTTTACCAGTTTACCATCTTAATATTAATATTGCATTGTTTGCATACGTAGTGCTATTACTATCTATGTGAAAAAGAAACGTTGTAAAGATGCATGGTAAGTCTTTACTAATGCATTTTTGCCATCTAAGTTAATTAATAGCCTGGTTTATACCATTTCTTGTATTATATAGAATTATATGTACAATCCAATGCATCAGCAAACGGGGTACCATATCTGTACCGACTCAAGTTACAGACGTAAAGGTCTAGCACATCACGACTCAACTATCTTATGCATTTTGCAGACTATTTACAGCATCGCAGACCTTGTCACTGTTGACGACGTAGTGGAATTCCTGAAGGCCAAGGGATTTGGAAAGTATGCTGCAGCATTCAGGCGTAAGTAGAGTTATACTAATAATTTTCTTCCTTTCCTAGCTACAGCTGCTGATGTAGCTTGTTTAAAAGGAAGATTTGTAACGCAGGGGAGATAACTAGCTAGCAACTAGCCTGTTTTATCTCCCCTACCATTTTGCAATAGAGAAGACAAATAAAGAAATGTCAAGGTCAGTATACTATAGATTATTGTTAACGTTCTGATGTGATTGTTGGTCTGGTCTCCAGGGCACGAAGTAGACGGAGAAGGAGCAATGTCCCTGACCAGTGACATGCTCGCTGAGCTCGTCCCTGAGATCGGACCGAGGGCAAAATTACAGAAGGCCCTTCAAGAGCTGAAGGACAATCAGCATCAGGTATGGGTCGTTCGTCTTATCCATTGCTTCGAATTCTGTCTCGCTTTTCATACCACGTAAAATGTACTCGCTGGAAAAATAAGCAATAAAACATTAAAGTTTAAATGGCGTTAGGTGTCCCGTCAAACTTGATCAGTAGAGATGTAATTAGGGAACAGAATGTCATCTTTCCGGATTCACTGTCAATAAGAATGGAATTTTAAGAAAAACCCCCAATAGATGTTTAAAGTTTAAACTTCTAAACCAACACAAGAGATAACTCTCCTTAGAGCTTTCCACCGGTCACTCCGATCTTCTTCAGTAGAGTGACCCTGTGGGACTTTTCATGTGATTTTTCTGAAATGTGACGTCAATACTGGGTCAAATGTGCCTTGTAAACAATGTCGACCCCCGTCGCGGTTGAGTGACCCCAAAAGATCCCATCATCCCAATAGAATCTCTACTGCACAGGAAAATGGTTCGAACTTAATTTAGCATGACAAATATATCTACTTTACTTTCACCTCTCATTCTAGGAGTCCACCGAGAGCAGCAAACCTGTCCACCCTGATTGGGAAATCCCCCGCTCCAGCTTGAAGCTCGGTAAAATCTTGGGGAAAGGTCAGTTTGGGGAGGTTCGTATGGGGGAGCTGAGGAAGAGAGGCGTCACCGAGACAGTCGCAGTTAAGACACTGAAAGGTATGTTCTGTACATTACAAGGAGTTATGGCAAGATGTCCTGGGCACTTAAAAAGAATTTCAAAATGTAAATGTAATGTAAATAACTAAACATATAACACCTAAAAATAACTGGAAAATTGGTGGGGGGTGCATTGTTCATAATGTGCCTCAGCTCACATCTATGCTAGTATTACAGTACTGTCTGTAACAATGTGTTATTAACATTATGAATTAGCAATTGGCACATTCTATTTACTTAGCATCTGCAGAGGAAAGGGACAAAGAGGACCTCATTGGAGAGCTGGACATTCTGGTCACAGTTGGTCGTCATGACAACATCATTAGTCTAGTTGGTGCATGCACGGTTGGAGGTAAATATTCAACGTGGTTTTCTTGTTCTGTTGTTTCAATTGTGCGGTTACTTTTCATTGTGATTTCATTTGTCTTTGACAAAGAACGATGGCCCCCATAATATTGGAGACAAAAAAGTTATAAACTGAACAGGCCAGCATTCATATCGCTCAAAACATGGGTTTATTCATGCCTTGTTTAATGTTAGGGACGAGGTAGTTAGGTAGGTAATGTATGTCACGTTGTCAAACCTACCTTACCTAAAATATGTATTCGCTCTAGGCCCGCTGACACTTGTTGTTGAGTATGCAGCCAACGGATGTCTGAAGGACTGGCTGAGAAACAACCGCCCTAAGGAGCTTAACAAGACAGACGACAAAGACATTGCCACTTCCGGGATTCTGTTGCCAATGGAACAACTGATCACTTTTGGTTTAGACATAGCAAATGGGATGACTCATCTGGCTGCCATGCAGGTACACATAACATGTTACTGTATTATGGACTCATCCTCCCACGCCTCCTTACGAGTTCGGAGTATTTGCCGCGGGATAGCTCTGCCGTGGGAGAATGTATGGACTGTGATTTGATCTTTGTGATTGCAAATTCGTAATAGTACTTCTTTGTACATATTCGCATAATTAGGATCTGAACGTGGTCTTATACTGCGCTCATATCAGATTCTGTTTTCATTCCGTACAAGTAAACTGAGTTGTGTACTAAATCACTTGCTAGCTACAATTGTAGCGTCTCACATAGGTCTCACACAATTTTTGGTGGGAATTGGACATAAGTGATGATAGACAATGTTGAAATTACGGAATGGTTTCTAATACCACCACAAAATTGTGTGACAAGCTACAACTGTAACTAGCAAGTGATATGGGCGCAGTATAAGACCACGTTCAGATCCTACTTATGCGAACTGCATTATTATTCATCAACCTCTAACTTTATGTCGTTTCTTCATGTGAGATCTGGTCACGTTTTAATATCACTGCACTATGGTGTCACAATCCAATCGTTCCTCCATCCAGTGTGTCCACCGTGACCTTGCCGCCAGGAACGTGCTGCTTGGGAAGGATCTGACGGCCAAGATCTCTGACTTTGGTCTGTCACGGGATATCTACGAGGAATCTGAGTACGTCAAGACCACGAAGGTAGATTCTCGTACCCGCATGTCCAGGAAAAATATAGATACAGCAACACCCTTACTAGATGCGTGGTAGTTTACTCAATAAATCCGAACAATATATTAGAGGTTCCTAGCAATCACTATGCTGATTTTGAGTTCCTGACATGTCTACGATCAGACATAACAGGAATTGTAACCTGTGTCCATATGTTTATTGGAGCCATTTGGATTAACCACCATGAAGGGATACCATATGCATGCGATATTGTATGTGCGATATGCTTGTTTTAGTCATGTAAGCAATACTATATTATACAATATTGTATATATCATGATGATGATTGTATAAACATGTGACCATGTGACTTAAAACTTGTATGCTAGTTGATAGTATAACATAATTCATATGTAATACTATATGCAATTGTAGATCCTTGTGAATTATACACATTTGCGCGGCAAAGCTTATGAAGATGTTTTAAGTTGAATCTCATTTTCCATATAGTATAATATAATGTGTTTGTTTACTGTGAAGCAGATAAAATTAGTGCAAACGCTAGGAATCTAATGCATCTTAGCATTCATTTTCCCGTTCAGAGCCAACTACCCATCCGGTGGATTGCATACGAGTCCCTGTTCTACCACGTGTACACCACCCAAAGCGATGTGTATGTATTGTACATATATACCAGTTTTAGATATCTACGCACAGTTAACATTTAAGATGCCAGCACTGAAATAGACCTGTATTTGTTTACAATGTGTATTGTCACCTTCAGATCATTACATGATGCTAAGTCTTTACCGTACGCGTATTGCTTGTGTAGAATGGCCTCAAATTGGGGAGCTAAGATTGAAACAGCCGGAGTCCATACTGAAGTCTTATTCGTGACCTGTTAGTAAGTAGGGGTTAGCATGGGAAATCTATCATTGATTATAACACATGGCATGGTATACTTTACAGTAGTTGAATTTGTCGCATTTCAGGTGGTCCTTTGGAATCCTTTTGTGGGAGATCATGACAATGGGTAAGGACTGCACAAAAACATTTGTCATCTATAGTTTGTACTAAGTTTGAAATTTGAAATGTATTTGACATGTTACCCCAAATCTCTCACTTCGTCTGATAAATACGGTATTGCATTTTCAATTATAGGTTTATTGAACCATTTCAGTTGATCTGTGGTAGTCATTCCGTTATTAAACATTTAATCTGAAGTTGTACGACCATAAATGCGCTATTTACCAGTTTCATACTTCACTTTACTCACTCTTCCAGGTAAACAACCGTACGGCCGGATGACAGGCAAGGAGCTCATGAAGCTTCTCCCAGGTGGCTACAGGCTGGAGAAACCCGCTCTGTGTCCCCAAGATGTGTATGTCTGACTAAAGCCTTGTATATATTAAGTTCAGCTCTTTTGTGTAACTTGACAGAATTCCGATACGATTTCGTTTTCTTTTATTGGCTGACCGTGAAAAATAAAAGTCGTCCATACACATATACTGTATAGATACACATCTTACACATGACTCTTAACGTTGAATTGTTATAATTGCTTGCCTCACTGTCGAAAATATTTTGTACCCAACAGTTATGAAGTGATGAAGACCTGCTGGGAAACCCTTCCTGAGAACAGGCCAACTTTCCCTGAGCTGAAGGCAACTCTGGATCGGATCATTCAAGATCACAGGGTAAACTTTTATATAGGAGGTTTTATATATTTTTGATATTGAAGACCACAAGGTAAAATTTTATATAGGTTTTATATATTTTTGATATTCAAGACCACATGGTAACGTTTTATATTAGTGTATTAACTTTATCAATTTAAGGGCTAAGTAAAAATTGTCTTATTCAAAAACATTCCATTTTCACTCTATTTTACTCTTATGTCCAGTCCTGATCAAATTCTTAGTGACTTATTGTATGGAATTAATGGCTTACATGGAATTGGTTTGAAACACTCTGACGTGTAGTTCTGACTGCCATCGCTAGAGTAAGTGAACACCAGTCTCAATGTTGTTTATCTTTTGTTTACCTTTGCAGACATATGCCTCATTGCTGAAGTAGGAAACTACGCAATGGAAGAGAATGAAAGAGAGAATCTTTTTGACAAGAGGAAAATATTACATTGTGTCATTTTGTAGATAACTTAGGCCCAGAATACAACATATGTTTGTTAATTATAACTAGGAATATCCAGTATGCGGAATTTACTTTCGCAGAACGGAATCGTACATTGCTTATAGAACGTTTTAACAATAAGATGTGTATATATATCCAATATATTGTCACAAACACAGTGCATGCTAGAGTGTACTTTAAGTACATCATAACCTAAGAATACATTAAGGACAATTAAGTACAAAGCATTAATCAGAAAAACAGAATTTATTGCTTACATCCTTATTTGTACCCTCCATTAGCTTGGTGGCACACATAGCCAGGCAATATATAACAGAATTACATGTTACAGCCACGTATCAATACGTGCATTGATTCAAGACGTATTAATTATGCCGTAGATATTCTGTACACGTTAAACTGTTAATTGGATATAAAAGTTTTTCCATTCCAAGATCAACAGAACAATTGTTTGTTATGGTTTGCTTTGAAAAATGTAACCCGGTGTTTGCATTTATGATACATGTATTTGGTACTAAGCTGCTACTAAAGGATTAAACATTTCTACTGCTTTAACCCTGGTTTTTCGCATAACATTTTAGGATAAGGATACATATAACCTTCCATATAATGCATTATGGTCTCCTTGAATTTGAAGCAAACGGATTTTACAAATTTTCCCATGAACGAAAATACCATATCGTAATAATGTGAGTCACTTTTTTTCTGGTCCTCCAAAAACACTAACGTATTGGCAGACGTCTAAAACATTATGTGGTAATCAGGAGAGTAATATTCACCTTTAACGCATACAAGCTTCACCTCTGACCCCTAAAACGTAGGAGGACACAAACAAAAACATTGTTTACGTGTACTAAAGGTGAGCTTGGGAGGGGAAAAATCATAAAAGGAAGCAGGTAAGACGTAGAAATATGCGGCCAAGTAGGTTTATACAAAGTGTAAGAGTTTAGGATCATTTCTGTGCAAAAAAAAAGCCACAATAAGACGATAATTTAGAGATATATTCTGGATGTAAATATGCATGGTGGAAATGAGGGGAAGGGGGGCGAAACATACGTAATGCGAACGCTCATTACCTCTTAACGCAATTACTACTAATACTAGTATGTAGCTAGCAACGTGTGATAGAATATATATAGGTTTTATTTCATCTATATTCAGACATTTCTTTCTTTGTTAGGCTGGGCATGGCCATGGCAGGACATGGGTCTCACACCGGAGTTGGACAGAATTGCTATGATGGGTCTCCCACCGGAGTTTTTCCAGTTAAATGTGAGTACGACCCAAGCGACGATGGGTATCCCTCTGGTGTTCACCGGGTTCAACATGTCCAAAGCAACCCAAACAACGATGGGTATCCCACCGGTGTTTTCCAGGTTAAATGTGAGAGCAACCCAAGTAACGATGGGTATCCCACTGGTGTTTCCCAATTTCAACCTGGAAGCAACCTAAATAATGGGTCTCCCACCAGTGTTTTTTCAGTTAAATGTGAGAGCAACCCAAGTACTAGTAACGATGGGTATCCCACTGGTGTTTCCCAATTTCAAACTGGAAGTAACCCGAATGATGAAGGGTATTTCACCAGTGTTTTCCAGGTTAAATGTGAGAGCGACGTCCCAATTGCAAGCAATGATGTGTCTCCCACTAGTGTTTACCACGTTCAACATGAAAGCAACCAAAGTGACAATGGGTCCCCAACCAATGTTGTCCCAGTTAAATGTGAGAGCGACCCAAGCAATGATCGTTCTCCCACCGGTGTTTCCCAATTTCAATCTGAAAGCAACGTAAATAATGGGTCCCCAACCAATGTTGTCCCAGTTAAATGTGAAAGTGACCCAAGCAATGATCGTTCTCCCACCGGTGTTTCCCAATTTCAATCTGAAAGCAACGAGAATGATGAAGGTTCTTTCACCAGTGTTTTCCAGGTTAAATGTGAGAGCAACCCAAGCAGTGATGGCTATCCTACATGTAACAGTGTTTCCCAGATTGAACATGAGAGCAACCCAAGCAATGGTGGGTATCCCACCGGTGCCTTCGAGGATCAACGTGAATGCAACCCAAGCAATGATGGGTATCCCACTGGTGTTTTCCAGGTTAAACGTGAGAGCAACCCTAGTAATGATGGGTATCCTAACAGTGTTTCCCAGATTGAACATGAGAGCAACCCAAGCAATGGTGGGTATCCCACTGGCGTATTCCAGGTTAAAGGTGAAAGCAACCCAAGCAACGATGGGTCTCACAATGGTGTTTTGCAATTTCAATCTGAAAGCAACCCAAGCAATGATGGCTATCCTAACAGTGTTTCCCAGATTGAACATGACAGCAACCCAAACAATGATGGGTCTCCCACTGGTACTTTTGAGGATCAATGTGAAAGCAACCCAAGCAATGATGGGTATCCCACTGGTGTTTTCCAGGTTAAACGTGAGAGCAACCCTAGTAATGATGGGTATCCTATCGGTGTTTCCCAGTTTCAATATGAAAGCAACCCAAGCAATGATCGCTGTCCCACTGGTGTTTCCCAATTTCAATCTGAAAGCAATCCAAATGATGATGCGTATCCCACCAGTTTTTCCCCAGTTAAATATGAGAGGGACAGAAGCAATGATGGGTCTCCCACCACCATCTCCCAGGTTCAACATGAGACCAACCCAAACAGTACTCAAGACCAGACTGCAGCACAAAACGCCAGCTTGAATAACGCGTGTCCAAAATCTAAAAAGAGAAGGAAAGTTCACAATCCGCTGGTTCTAAGATCCACCATTCCCCGACACTGTGACAGTGACAAGCTGTTTGAAAAACTCGAGAGGGTTTTTCGCCAAGAACACGAGGCCAGCGGTGTTGTTTGCGCTGTCGTGGAGTTCCGAGTTGACACAATGCAGACAAAATGCCTGATTCAAGTGGGGTTGATAAGAAATAACGGCCACGGATATTTTACCTGTCCTTGGCCTTCTTGTCGGTATTCGAGAAAGGAAAGGCACCTTGTTGCAGACCACATCCGGAAACTACACTTCGGTCCTAACTTTTGTTCGGAATGCGGCCACATCACCAAGTCCCAGCCACCTATCCAGCGCCATTACAGGCAAAAAGGACATGCTGGTAATGAGCAATCACAGCAACCGCTGTCTAACGTATACCAGGTCGCCGCTGTCAGGAGATACTGTAAGGAACTGTGCAGTGATTTCTCTGTTCCCTTTACTGAAGTAGAGTAGCCGTTTGTGTAAAGGATGCTGCACACTGCATGGACAGTATAACCTCAGTGCTGACACCAAGATCACTCTAGCAGCACTCTGTGCTTTTTTGTGGACAGTCAGTCAGTCAGTCAGTCAGTCCTTGTTAGGTGCTTTTAACTCATGCTGTAAATAGATTATTAACAAGATAGATTATCTCCAAGCAAAATTCAGTCAGACCAAATTAGAATACTTCAGTGGAAATGCTTAATGCCATCATTGGTGATGTTTTTTAATTATTCTTGCTATGCTTGTTATGCTCGACATGGCAATGGCAGGACATGGGTCTCCCACTGGAGTTGGGTGGAACTCTTTATGATGGGTCCCCCACCAGTGTTTCCATTGTTAAGTGTAAGAGCAAAACAAGCAATGCTGGAGACCAGATGGTAGCACACAATAATGTCAACTTGAATAAAGCTAGTGAGAAATCTTACATGTGTGGGAGTGAGGTAACAGGACTATTCTGCTGTACAGAAGTCCTCCTTAGTCCCCTTTGTCATAAGATGTCTTTCTCTTTTCACATCTCTGTCTATGCTTATATCAACTGGTACATATCCTCTTTTAAGTAATGTACCCAAACACCCCTGCAGCTTTTAGGGCAAGCTGTAGGAGAGGAGGGGGGGGGGAGCAATCAGTCCCATAGCTGAATATGACCAGGGCAATAGCCTGGATGAACTTGACAGGTCAATATTGATAGATTTGTTTAACAAATCAATATAAATAGTTACTAACTTTACTTATACAGTTGTTGTTTGAATCTTGGCAGGTTCAGTAGACTTATATTGATATCTTAATTGATAATAGAACACAGTGGCTGTGGATTATTGATATAAGGTAATTCTTAAGAATTGTGTACTTTTTTGCCATTTACATGGTCGGGAATTTTACTACGTGCATTCTCTGTATATACATTATTAATTCAATTAAATATGTCAATTGTACATGTACCTAATTTATTCACTTCCTTGTAATCAAAACATCGCTACGTCATGTTGAAATTGCGAAGGTTAATACAGTGACCCCTCGTGTTGACTTGGATTCTTCCGTTGCGCTTGGAAGTCACAAATACAGTATCTCGTCAGTCGAGGATACGGCTAGTCCTCATGCTTCCCTATTTGTCGGTTAAACATGGTAAAAAAGAATCATGGTTATGAGAACCAATTTTCAGAATAAGATCATGTATACTTATAAATCCCATCCAACACATGATCATTTTGACAGTCTGAGCTCTTAAAATCAGGTAAATTTGTAGATCGTTTTGAGATGAAGATGCATGAATCCTCAATAATAGGATGCAAAGTATGAAAGATTTACCACTAAAAGGACAAACAGTAAAACTAACGCTGTAAAATGGCGAAAGATGTTAGGTCCAGGTCCTGAACTTTCTCTATGTTTTAAATCAACAATGTTCAGGCACACAGAGCTACTCGCGTATAGTATAAGAAGAGAAATATTGATACTTCTACCCACCTATACAGTGGTATGTTACCTCCAGGTACTTCAAATTGTATGGACAGGGGTCACCGAAGTTGAAATTGTCTACTCGCACCTCACACTGTTGTAAGCCCTGACAACTTTTACTTACAAAGGTGTAGGGACTGATGGAGGCTGGCCTGTTACAAAGTAAAAGATGACTTAAACTACATTCGATATTTTAAAATCCGATTGTAATTTAAAGCTAATTTTTAATAAATT